TCCGACTCGGTCACAAGCAATATCCGATATACCGCATGAAAATTCCGACTAGGTCACCTAATATCCGCCCGATTCGTGCATCCCAAATATCCGACTGTCATTCAAATATCCGATACCCGAAATGCCCACGCGTGCGGACTTCGTGAATTATGAACGCTGCACGCGTGCGCAGACCGTGCAAGCGCAGAGTATCACAATGGAACTCGGATAATCGGAAACCTTTCCCGATTATCTATATTTTTCCTGTCGTGTTCACAATAAATATTAGAGTAGCGGAATATACCCAAGTTCTTTCATTCCACACGGAACTCACAGAAATTTCTAATTAGTTTTGCGCATTCATAGAAAAGGTTTATAAAATACTCAGCAGGAGACGGCACGAAAGTCGAATGCCTGTGAGCTGTCTCTTAGTTTGTCCATTTTTACTCGTAGACATTTTGGCTCAAGCCCTTTATCTTCATCTTCTGATGGACACTCAGTCCTCATCTGTGAACGCCGCTCACTTAGCGGCGCCCAATCGGCGTCCCCCCCCTCGTATGGAGGTTGAGTTGCAACCAGTTATTTGAGGGTTTGAGCAACAGAGTCGTCACTTGAGGATAACTATTTTATTTTTCCCACTGCTGTGAAATTTCTTTCATGTTATCCGGACGCGTTGGATTGCAAAAAAGTCGGGAAGGCCTCCGAAAGTGATGTGGGTTGACAAGTCTACATGATTCTAAACGGACAGTACTCGAGCAACCGTACCGATCAGAATGAAGTCATTTAGAATTTCATTATGAAACTTTCGTGCGTCACTCCTGGTGCTCTTGAGTGATCCCTCTGTCTGACGACTCAGGCTTCGTCCTTGGCATTAGCGAGCGCCACCTAAGTAAGCGCCACGATTCCATAGTGAACCTGAGAGAAGAATCCTCGCTCGGACCGAGGGAGATGCTGACATGTTCATTAATAGTCCTCAGTGACTTTAAGGTTCTCATACACGTTGCAGTCCCGTGATCGACTGATCGACACGAGTTCTTGACCGTTCGAATGACGCGTCGACTGAGCTACTTCGGATATTCTTACCTACCTCAGACCCTCAGGCTCCATGTGATGGATTGCAAGTGAGGTCTTCCGCTGATGAGTGGATACTCTCGGGTCGCTCGAGTGCGTTGATTAGCTCACTCCGCTATAGTTACCGCTTTAGTCGAGTGACAACTTGATGATTTCCGTCGACAAGAACGCAGTATTCTGCTCAATACTGTACGTAATATTCGCTTCGTGTCTTTTTCCTGTCTCTCCAGCTAATGAATCGTCTAGCGGCTCTGACTGATATACACTACTATCACTTTATGAACGCGAGAGTGAATTGAAGTAAAAATTATGATGTCTGTCAGTGCACGTGAGACAATAGTCCTTTCTCTTTCTAGAAGTTCATATTGAAGCCAGGCAGCAGAGGCGTCGAGATCTCGAAGAATGTTCTGTGACGAATGCTTATCCTCAATAGGGACTCCCAACAATGTCACGGTTTGTTAGGGCCCTGAAAATGACCGACATTTTTTGCGCTATGATGGGCGCCAAATTCACCTTCACTTTTTCCAACCCTGGGGGTGGTGGCACAGAAGGTGGCGGCTTCACACGCCGAGCGAAGGGAACCTCACTTCCCTGAATCGTCGTATCATACAGTTTTCCAATACGCACCTGACAGAAGCTCACATAGGATATTCAGTCACAACAGCAGTGCGTACAAGTTGGTCAATATCAGTCCGACACTTCGGGCAACAACTGCCGCCAACTGCCTCATTGCTCGCTATGTGGACTGCACAAGACTGGCAAATTCCAGCATGTCCACAGGGTAGAATAACCTACCATAGAATGCCATAAATCTCTGATAAAATCGATTAATTCACTCACCATATCTCCGGGGTTATCGAGGCACACAGAACAAGGCGAGATAGTCGTTGCTCGAACTTCACTGCTCACAGGGACTACTCCTGTTACGTTATCCAAAATGACCTGCGAATAACCAACTAGTCGTCTTCTTCCAAGGAGATGCATGAGCCGACCTTCGGATCAGAAACGGTGCTCAGCCTGCGCTCTCCTGCCACCCAGTGAACTCTGTTGACAGAGCGACACGTTTCGCAAACGAACACGTTGGCGTGTGGCCTGACCGAGAACACTTTGGAGGCCTCAATGTAGATGATTACAGTAGCGGTTGAACTGCATGACAAACATCACAGGCGACTTGGTCGGTGACCACTCGTGGTTGTTTTTTCTTTGATTTAGACTTCGCCACGCATACTGAGCAGCAGGACAACTTTCCTCCCATGTTGCGAACACACCGGAACTGAGACAAGCCCGAGTACACGCTGTGTGAGTATTCCGACACACACCCTCACAGTGTTGGAGTAGGAATATGTGTTCGCTTTCTTCAGCTGAGCTCAGGAATTTCCTATACAGTGTTGGAGTAGGAATATATGTTCGCTTTCTTCAGCTGAGCTCAGGAATTTCCTATACAGTGTTGAGTAGGAATATATGTTCGCTTGTCTCAGCTGAGCTCAGGAGTTTCCAAAGCTAATTATAGAATTTGGGTAGAAGTGTACAAAAAACAACAAGAATTTTCCAAAATTTCCTCAGAATTTTCATACTAGCACCAACACATGAGCATATTCTCCCACACTGTTTATCACACAACCCAATATCCTGCCGGACCGAGAACCACGTCGAACAAAAACAAGAGGGCTACTGTACAACAAAGAAACACAGAACAACGACAGTACGCGCACTGCGTCAGCTCAATACAGATTCATTAATGAGCTTTTCTAAACTTAGCGGAGAGGCGGCTTTTACAGCGAGAATTGAAAAGGAGAGAAATAACGTCACAAAAAATGTGCGCGAGAACAGTTCTACGCCAGGGGATTCGACTCGCTCGCTCCGCTCAATGTGATGTGCTCACGAACCTGACGACACTGCGTAAAACAAGACCTATGGAACTAGTGTGGACTTACGAAAGCTGCCATAGTCCCCAAGGCTCTACGAGGGGCTTCATTCTCGGAAGTACAGAAACCGAACAGCTCGAAGCAGTGAACCTGAAGGGAATAATTTCGTGGCGCAGTGACGCTGCTGACACTGTTACCATCTCCTCGTACTCCTGGAACTGAAAGTGAATCTCCGGTCTTTTCATGGCCGACACTTTAGCAGCGAAACGCTCAATTTGAGGAAGGAACAACTCGTCTTGACCGGCCTGGATCTGAGGAGGAGGAGGAGCGAGAGCATTCGAATCTTGTTGAGCCCAGTGTTGGAGCAGGAATATATGTTCGCTTTCTTCAGCTGAGCTCAGGAGTTTCCTATACAGTGTTGGAGTAGGAATATATGTTCGCTTTCCTCAGCTGAGCTCAGGAGTTTCCTATACAGTGTTGGAGTAGGAATATATGTTCGCTTTCCTCAGTTGAGCTCAGGAGTTTCCTATACAGTGTTGGAGTAGGAATATATGTTCGCTTTCCTCAGCTGAGCTCAGGAGTTTCCTATACAGTGTTGGAGTAGGAATATATGTTCGCTTTCCTCAGTTGAGCTCAGGAGTTTCCTATACAGTGTTGGAGTAGGAATATATGTTCGCTTTCCTCAGCTGAGCTCAGGAGTTTCCTATACAGTGTTGGAGTAGGAATATATGTTCGCTTTCCTCAGCTGAGCTCAGGAGTTTCCTATACAGTGTTGGAGTAGGAATATATGTTCGCTTTCCTCACCTGAGCTCAGGAGTTTCCTATACAGTGTTGGAGTAGGAATATAAGTTCCCTTTCCTCACCTGAGCTCAGGAGTTTTCTATACAGTGTTGGAGTAGGAATATATGTTCGCTTTCCTCAGCTGAGCTCAGGAGTTTCCTATACAGTGTTGGAGTAGGAATATATGTTCGCTTTCCTCAGCTGAGCTCAGGAGTTTCCTATACAGTGTTGGAGTAGGAATATATGTTTGCTTTCCTCACATGAGCTCAGGAGTTTCCTATACAGTGTTGGAGTAGGAATATATGTTCGCTTTCCTCAGCTGAGCTCAGGAGTTTCCTATACAGTGTTGGAGTAGGAATATATGTTTGCTTTCCTCAGCTGAGCTCAGGAGTTTCCTATACAGTGTTGGAGTAGGAATATATGTTCGCTTTCCTCAGCTGAGCTCAGGAGTTTCCTATACAGTGTTGGAGTAGGAATATATGTTTGCTTTCCTCACATGAGCTCAGGAGTTTCCTCACTAATTATAAAATTCAGATAGAAGCGTCAAAAAAGCAACAAGATTTTCCCAAAAAACTTTCCAGAATTTTTATATTGTCACCAACACACATAGTTGCCCATGTGCATATCCTCCAAATCCGATAGCGCCTACAAGCATGTTAGGAAGACCACTCAGATCAGCGTAGTAAGGAGAGACCTCCTGGGAATTCGGACAGCAGTTTCCAATAGCGTACTGTGCCACACTAGACACCTGAACAGAAGTGTCACCAAATCAGTGTCACCACATCGCCGCGTTCATGCACCCACCAGATCACGCTGGACGTAGTCGACATTCTCCTTTCTCTCCACCGCAGCTACTGGTTTACGTGGCGTTTCAGTAGTTGCTGTCGCACTCTCGGTCTCCGCGGGTTTCTCAGTGCTGTTATCCGCTTCTTTAGAGCTCTCCGACTTGGATTCCTTCGGTTCACTACTGCTGCCGTCCACCGGCTTCTCCACAGCATCACCGCTCGGCTCGCTAGTCCCAACATCATCACCGAGACCTCCGGTCTCCTCCTCCTCCTCTTCCACCGCCGCCGCTTTTGCTGTGCTGCCATCAGCTTCGTCCAACACCACAGACGCCTCCTCTGTAGAGGAGCTCAAGTCGTCCGAAAGGTCATCAACTTGATCGGCGAGATCAGTTATAGGTGACATCAGGCAAACACTACTCGGCAACGGAACCTGAACGACGAACATAACAAACTCCCTATTGCGTGAAATTTCCTACTCCTTCATCTCGCAGAGATATGAGTGCCAACATAGCCATGCCAGCTCCCAAGGAGTCTCCTGCGATCGCGATGGAGCCAGGATCAACTCCAATGCTCTTGATCAAGTGCTTGTACCTGCAAGCTCCAACTCACACCTAGGTGCCTTGCCTCCCCATCCTACACAGCCTTGATATCAGTCACACCCTCCTGGAAGGAAGCCGCTGGTGGCAACGAGTCGCTGCATATACAACACCTAAGGGGACGAGAGCCACATGGGAACTCAACGAGCCTTGCCGGATGCTACACTATAGCTTCAGCTCTCTTTGCGAGCAGGTAGGACTGATAACGGTGAACGCCCTTACCCCAGACGCAGAAAGGGGTACCAGGCACATACCTTCGAAAACGATACATGCCAAGTAACCTAGCTCACACTCACAATATGACCGGGTTCTCTTTTAACACGCTCACACTAGGGCCGATTTGCTGAACTGCAAGCTCCGGTGGCCTCAAGGGTGTGATCTCGTTCGGCCACATCCACGCTACCAAGAGACAACGATATACACTAACAGGGGTGACGCTCTTACTCAGCTTCAGCGGTTCCTGATTTCCGTCGATTCGGAGGGTTTGAGCGAAGCGAAACTGATCAAAATTTTTCCCAAAAAAAGGAGTGAAGTTTCGAGAAATGTCCTACGACTCCTTTCGGAAGCATATTGTTCGGTAGTGGTTTTTCCGCCAGCTTCCTCACGCGATCCACGCTCATACCAGACAGGTGCTTTCCCACTGAGCGCAAGGCGCTGATGTACCTACGTTGCGGAGGGTAAAAATGACGCCGCTGGGATTCGAACCCGGGTGCAATATGAACGACAAGGCTACTTACGATTCCATATTGGAGTTCCACGACTTCCTCTTGGAATGGCCCATCAAGCGACGCAACGGCACCTATAAAAATACAAAAATAAACCTGATAGGATTCGAACCCGGGAGCAACGGTGTGTAACCATGGATCTTAACCGCTGCGCTAATTCACCACAACATCGCCACCTTCAGCATTGTCCCAGCAGCTCTGGGACCAATCGTAGACGCCCACATGGCTTCACTCCACGAGCCGTGAGTCTTCAAAGGCTTTCCTCCTCCTAATGTGCAGATACTCGCATCAGATGAAGGAGCTAAATCATACAAAACAATCAACCAAAAACGAGCGGAGCGATGCACGATCAACCTACCATAAACGCTCACATTCCCCACACCAACATCGACAGTAGCAGAGCTCACTGACGACACAGATGCACTCAGTAATGGTGCCTCTCCATCGCGCTGATCCTCAGCCTGGGGTAAGCTCGGCGAACTGTACGCCGGCGTCATTTTCCCACTACTGCCTCTACTAGGGAGCATCTTCTCTTTCTTCACATCGGACCACTTCGGGCTACTCTCCTCCTCAGGAACATCACCAATGAGCTCGGCGACAGAGAGCGGGTCCGCTAAATCATCAGTGATGACCGCACTAGAGCCTCTTGACAAACCTTCCGTGTGAACTGTTACTTTTCGACTGACGCCTCGGGCAT